AAAAAAAAAAAAAAAAAAAAAAAAAAAAGAAAATTCTGAGGCCAAAGAGAGAAAATGATTTGAGAAGGTCAGACAACAGCCAAATAGAGGAAGAGCTGGGACTAGAACCCTCATTTCCCACCTTCAGACATAATAGGCTTTTCCCTGCGTGATGAACTGGCTCATTAAAGTTAATTTAAAAAACCCTGCAAACTACAACCACATCACAACATTCATTTACAACTAAGATGAACACCTAAGAGCAGACCCAGTCTGGCAGCACATTCTTACAGACAGAGAAGTTCTACAATCCAGCTTGTATTTAGCAGCGATGCCAAAACGGGTATTATTACTGCCAGCCGTCCAAGCAAGGTTTATTGACGTTTCAATCTTCTCGTTAACCTTCTGGTAGATAGAACCTCCAAATTCAGTGCCATCATTCCTGTTTACACAGTATTAGAAAAAGTCACTAACATCTGTTCGTACCATTGTTATGACATAGAAACAAACAGTTAAGACTAAACAAGGATCCCATTTTGCAACTATAGACTTTAGAAATTTCTAGCATAAATGACTATTGAACAAAACGAGGAACTAAGTCCAGTTATGGTTCTGGAGCTGCTGAATTAAAATGTAGTAACATCTGATCTATTTACTTGCCCTCAACATAATATAAATTTCTGAGACACACCTCAGGTGAGTATAATCTATATATTTCTTTGAAATGTTCACTGAACTTAGAAACTTCAAGGAGAGTTCAATAAAGATTCTACAAAAACAAAAAAAGAGTGGAAGTACAAGAATAAACCAATTCTAGATTTCATTTAAAACAAAATCCTACAGTCACAAAGCACCCGCCCTATAGTAGGCAGGATGCACTGCTCTAGGAGAGCACCTGCATCATGCTGCAAAGCAGCACCAAAGTTAGTCCTTGAGTTTTTATGGTTCTCCCAAGAACATTATTTCATAAATTTCAATAATCCTGTCTGTACCATTGCTTGATTGTTTTAGCACCCTAAGTGAATTAGAGAATCTAGCAGACAGTAATCTGCAACACTTCAAAAACACACAGCTTGCCCTTTGCTTTTTCTTCCTGGTATAGGAGCAGTGTCCAATCAGCTAAGACATAAAATACAATTTAAAAGTACAGATTCACTCAGCCAACAGGGTGCATGCAGCCTATGTAACAGAATCTCAGGAGTGCTCTGAGGACTCCGGTTGCTTCTAATGCAATACGGGTAGCTGGCTCCAACCAAGGATGCCTGAAAACCTGCACAGAATTACTGGAGATGCTCAAATCTGCTGGGTGGTTGCTCCTGGTGATCCAAACAGACCTGCTTCCAGACACTGCCAAGATGAAGAGCACCAGAGGAAGCAGGAGCATCTCCACAGGATGTAAATATGCTCTGGGATCTCTCCATCCCAGTGGTTCTACAGAGTCTAGAGCTTCCTCGAGTCTGACTGAGAGGCCAGTGACTGCCAGCACATGGCACTGCACCCATGTGCACTGGCCTGCTGCCAAGGTTTTGCTGACCATTAAAACAGTACAGCAAGGCTGGGTGTTCACAAAGGCATATTAAGTACAAGTACTATCACTTCTAACCCTCTCAGCATGCGACTGATTATCATCTTTTGGGGTGACTGTCCTGACACTAAAAAGAAATAAATTATAAACACTCACACATGAGTGTGCAGCTGGAAGTCTGCGGCCTTGTATCCCAGGGCAAAATTATTCTGTGACAGTTTGGATTTGGCTGTGTCAAAACTCATCTGATAGCCAGCAAGCCAACCTTCAAAGGCCAACACAGCCCAGCCATAGATGGTTGGTCCAGAAAAATCTATATCAACATTACTGCCAAGACTGAAACAATCCCGCTTATAGGAAGCCTTTAATTTCCCACTCTTCTTTCTGTAGAAAACAAAAATAAAAAAATGAAAACATGAATTTTTACTACTATCCAAGAATTTTTAGCATAAGATCACTCTCTCCCCAATGTAAAAAGTATTCTTTTGAGATAGAGGCTCCCTCTGTTGTCCAGGCTGGAGTGCAGCAGTGTGATCACAGCTCACTGCAACCTCAGACTCCCGGGCTTAAGCGATCCTCTTGCCTCTTCACCTCCCCCAAATAGCTGGGTCTACAGGCATGTACCGCCATGCCTGGCTAATTTGTCTATTTTCTGTAGAAATGGGGTCTTCCTCTTGTTCAGGCTGGTCTTAACCTCCTGCCTTCAAGCAATCCTCCCACCTCAGCCTTCCAAAGTGCTACGATTACAGACGTGAACTTTAAATATTTTAGTAGATGACATGTATATAGTAAAAATGTTTCAAATGACTTATGGTTCTACAAATGTAGTTTGTTAGGATTAGAAATGAACATACTATTATTACCTACTGCTCTTCTAAGATTAAATAGTAGGGTACTTCATGAGTAATTTCATAGAGGCATGAACAAAAGTATAAGGAATGAGATATCTCAATGCCAAATTAATAATTTGAATAATCGCACATGGCATACAGATATACAAGAAGCCAAAATCCTTAAATGTTTCCAAATGCCAGAAAAAGTAACATTCAACACACATTATTAACCTATCTTAGAAAGAAGTATACTTTTTTGAAGGACAATACTAAAAACACAAAAATAGTTTTTAATAGTTCTTATCCTATATTCCAATCAAGCCTCTTAAGAGAATACTTGTCCTAAAGATAAAGTGTGTGATAGAACACACTTGTTATTACTGCTGAGATGATACATCACTTTGCATTTATCCAGCACCTCTGCCCTTCAAATAGCATGGACCCATATTGGGCAGATAAGAAATGATGCAATCCCCATTTTTTATGTTAGGAAATTAAGAAGTTGGGGGATTTACACAGACTAAGAAATCAAGTTGGTGGCAGAACTACTTGTTACAAACTGCCAGAACCAGGAGATTTCCTCTTAAGAAATTAGCTTTTTCAGCAGAATACCATGTTCATCAATTTTTAGAATAGCTTAGGATTTATCTATCTCCAGAGTCTTCTGACTCCTTAACTTTTTCTATGCGTCCCTTTGGACACCTTTTAACTTTGCACTGCATCTTCCTAATCTATAACTCTGTATCCCTTCAGGCTCCAAAAACATTTCAGAAAATAGAGTTTGGATAATTACCCTGTGTTCGGTACAAATATGGTATCAAGAGTCAATTTCAACCCTTCAGCCAACTGAAAAACAAAAATTTAAAATTAACAATTTAGTAATTTTCAATTCTTTATCCTACTCAAGAAACTAATTCTAAAGTTTCCTTTAACTGTCTCTTTAACGAAAAAAAAGGAAGTCATTAAAGAGAGGCAAGCATTAAATTATGGAATAAGTTAGCTCCCCATCCTCCTATCCCCCCCCGCCCACCAAAAAATGGGCAAATCCTATTTCAGCAAGTAACATAAATTAGAGTTCAAAACCAAGAGAATTCCTGAACAAGATAATCTTGATATTCTCTTGAAATTGTGGTTGTGAGGTAAGCTGACATTTAATAGGCCAACTTAAGGAACTTACTCAGCTACACACATGAAAATGTGCATGGAGACTCAGAAGACAGTGCCCTGTGCACAGTGGGCACCTGACAACATCTGCCTACAGGTTTCCTCCTTGAAAACATTAGAGAATCTTAGAAAAATTTTTCTGTCAAGCCAATTTTGCAATGATCACAAAACTAAACCAAATTACTGCAAATAGTCTGTCCTACCCAGAAGAGGCTCAGCTATTTGGTAACAGAGAACTGGTGATAACAAAGATGTCGAGTAATGATGAAGAGTTCTCACGAAGCCTTATTTTCTACAAACATAAAACATACCAAAATAGGCCATCTGCTGAAGAAAAATATAGCCACTAGATAGGCTGCAAGATCTTGTTCAGATTACATTTAGGATTTGTTCACTGTACAATCTGCAAGATAAACTGAACTTAGAAATAACTCCTAATGCTTTGTCTTACCTTATTCTCCAAAGAGATTTCTGTCCCCAGAGTATTGTCTGTGTTCCACTTCTGGGTGAAGGTTAGTCCATAGTTACAGATCTTGTACTTGGTCTCTAGGTTGCCTGACGCTTTCCCTGTATCAGTGTAAGCATGACCAGAAGTGGAAAATTCCTGGTAAGCAAGAAAAAATGATTACTTGGAAATTAGCTGATCAAACAAACATTCATTTCAGAAAGCGGGGTTCAATGCATCGTAATTTACTGTTTCCCACAGCGCTGCTCTACAACACCCCACTGCCTGCGTTCCTTCTGTCCTCCCAATCTCTAACTATTTTAACCAGTTTTAGATGTTCCCATTACTCCACCTCTCTTACTGATTTTTCTTATTCCACATGCTTGCTCACAAAAATGGGAATCTTAAAATTCTCTCCTTTAAAAAAGAGATACCTTTACTGAAAATAAATGCCTTTACTAAAAAGACAAAATGCTGACTCTAACACACTTTAACTTCATGACTTAAAATGTAAGATCATCAGGGCCGCACCTGTAGCTCAAGAAGTAGAGTGCGGGCCCCATATACCAGAGGTGGCGGGTTCAAACCCAGCCCTGGCCAAAAGTAAATAAATAAATAAATAAATAAGATCATCAGTTCTCTGTTATACCTTTCCACTAACAGTTAACTTGAAGGTCCTTAAACATTCCAAACACTACCCTCCCCCATTTTAACAGGGTCAACACTTTTATTACTTTTTTATTGTGGTATAATACACATAACAAAATTTATCATTTTAACACTTTTTAATTGTACAGAGAAGTGGCACTAGGTACATTCACATTTTAGTGAAAATTTTTCTTTGTCCACAAAACTATCTGCAAAACTTTCAGCATAGGGCAGCACCTGTGGCTCAGTGGGTAGGGTGCTGGCCCTATATACCAAGGATGGCGGGTTCAAACCTGGCCCCGGCCAAACTGCAACAAAAAAATAGCCAGGCGTTGCGGCGGGCACCTGCAATCCCTGCTACTCGGGAGGCTGAGGCAAGAGAATCACCTAAGCCCAGGAGTTGGAGGTTGCTGTGAGCTGTGTGATGCCACGGCCCTCTACCAAGGGTGACAAAGTGAGACTCTGTCTCAAAAAAACAAACAAACAAAAAAAAAACTTTCAGTATAAATGATTTTAATACTTGAAAGTATCAATCCATGCTTCACAATCAACGGAATGCCATAATTTGTCCCTCTTTCCCCTTCTCCATCCTATCTACAGTTACTATGAACAACTTAAAATATATCCTCCTCCCTGGGTGGGTGTCCTTACAGTCATATGACAATAAGCAACTGGAAACAGGCCTCCTTCCAGGGGAAGCCAAAGAGTCAACACCTGTCTCTGACACTCTATGAACTGTCAAGAAAAAAACATTCTGATTGGCCCTGTTTTGAAGGAGCATTTCTGAAATAATGCCCACAGTCATGAAATGCTGCCAGCCCTGGCCAGCTCTGTTTCATGGCCTGCAACAGGAATCCTCCCTTAACAAGTACCCTGCTCCCTAACTCTGGTTCTACAGGCTGATGAGACAACTGGGAAACCATGATCTGTTTATCACCATCACACACAGAGCTTTCAAAGAGAGTATCATGCTGCACAGTCAGGGCAAGGGCTTAGTAAAAAAATGATAAAATGTTAGTCAGGTTTTATAGTTCACACAACTCTTTAATGTAACAAACATTTTTAACAGATCCAGCTACCCAGTGTTTTTATTTTTTACATTTACCTTTCACAAACTTGATAAATACAGCAAAAGTGAAAAGCTTAATTTTGGTCTTAGGAAAACTTCATGCATAAAATCAAGGTAGAGGGTAGTCTTTCTTACCAGCATTTCTTACACAGATATAAATCTCAAAGAGAAGGCTAGAATTGTTCTAAGTAGAGTTCCAGGTTCACAATTCACAATTCAGTTTTTCTCTAATTTCATAATTAAGTCAAACAAGTGTAAAATACATTTATAACATGCATATAACATCCACAACTCTATGTTAAATACAAGTAACAAAACAAAAATGTTACAAAAACACATGACATATGACAGAAAGACCAAGACAAAAATCTAGGAAATCTGGAACAAACTGAAACCCAAAGAAGCCATAGAAGCACACAGGTAAGTTTTCTTACCATCTGAACATTACCACACAACAGCAGCATGAAAGAGAGATAAAATTTTAGTCGATTTTTGCAATGAAACCTAATGAGCAAATGAGTATAATTTTTCTATTTTAACATAACCATACACATCTTAGTACGGTGGGTTGCATAGGTATTTATTTTTTCTAGAGACCCCACAGAAAGAATGACAGGGGCAAACCAGGGTTATACAGAGTACAAGACAAAGTATGTGGAATTCCACGTCTTTGTCTTTCTAATTAAATCATTATATCCAGAAATAAAATTTGCATGAATTTAAATGCATAAATACCAAAAAAACAGATGCAGCCACTGAGGAGAAATCAGAGAATAATCTAAACAAAAACTGAGCCTCTCTACTGAGATTTATTGATTAAAGCTATTGTTAATGATGCTTTGAAAATACAGCTGGACACAGTGGCACATGCCTGTAATCCCAGCTGTTTGGGAGGCTGAGCTGGGACTGCTTGAACCCAGGAGTTCAAGGTTGCAAGTGAGCTACGATGCTGCCGCTGCGCTCCAGCCTCGAAGGTAAGAGTGAGACCTCACCTCTTTAAAAAAAAAAAAAAAGAAAGAAAGAAAATATATCAACATGTCTTTTACCATATGTTCTTAACTTACAGTTATAAAAAAACTGTGTGAGAAGTTAAAAACTATAGAAAGAGCTTGGTGACTGTAGCACAGCAGTTACAGCACCAGCCACATGCATGGAGGCTGGTGAGTTTGAGCTCCACCCAGGACAGCTAAACAACGACAACTGCAACAAGAAAACGGCCAGGCATTGTGATGGGCGCCTATAGTCCCAGCTACTTGGGAGACTGAGGCATGAGAATCACTTAAGCCTAAGAGTTTAACATTGCTATGAGCTGTGACGCCACAGCACTCTACTGAGGGCGATATAGTTATAGACTGTCTCAAAAAAAACCTATAGAATGATCATCAACTATAGAATGATCCTAAACATGCATACACACAGATTTTATTTCTATATTTTGTTTCAACTAATCATGAAGAGACAGGAATAAAATTAACTTTTTTTAGAGGGGCAATAAAACCTCCATGAACTCATTATAAAGTAGTAAAGTTTTCAGTGCTCACACACATATTCATGAAAACACAAAGGTATGACATGGGTCAAAAAATGTATACCCCGTATTTTCTAATAAGATGCAATATACTCTTATTATAATACACACAAAGAATCTCTTCCAAAATTCAACTTGTCTATGGGTTTCACTGGCCGAGTGAGTATGCTCGCTGGGATGTGAGAGCAGGACAGGGCTGCAGGGCAGACGGCACAGTGCCAAAAGTATGCTGTTGCCCATGACTGGACGACTTCTACACAGGATCCTTTAAGGGAATTGTATCTATTTAAAGTATATGAGGTACTCACCACTCCACTACAAGACTTGGTTTTCAGATCTATTTTGACCATGCCAAACCCTAGACACACACAAAAAACACAGTAATGTATAAAACGTAACATTCACTCCAGGTTTTATAATTCAGAAATTATAACACAGTCTATAGTACCTTCCATACAGAAAATGCGTAGTATTTTCATTACGTGGGAGTTCCATAGGAAATTGAATTATAGCAAAAGAACTTAAATATAAGTTTTAAGCCCCTCTAAATGAATAGTAATATACTTTTAAACTGTAAGTTAAAAAACAAATGAAAGGAATATGTACTGTTCCAAGAATTAGAATTACTAGAAAATACTGTGCTGATACATATATATATACACACAAGCATAAAATAAACAATTAACATTCTAATTTATAAGAAAAAACTGGCCCGGTGCGGTCACATCTGTAATCCTAACACTCTTAGAGGTCAAGGCAAAAGAATCATTTGAGGCCAGGAGTTCAGGGTTGCAGTGAGTTATGATCACACCATTGCACCACTATGGCCTGGGCAACAGAGCAAAACCCCATCTCTAAAATAAATTTTAAAAAATTAAAAATCAAATGTATATATCACAAAAAGTTTAAAGGTTAAATTTGCAAGCCTAAAAAGAAATGCCTATTTAGGATCAGAGAACATATATTACTCAAAGAAGTCTAAGTTGTAGCTTTACTTTCTTAAAAACAATGCCATTATTTGGAGGGGGAAAAGTACTCCCTACTTTAACCGTTCCCACGGGTAGCCAAAGGAGGCATACACATTATAGATTTATATTAATTACATTACAGATAACATTAAATACATACATGTATAACTGCTTTAATGCTTATAAGGGATTCTACCTATGAATCAAGAAATCTAATAGTCAATAGTTGTCTCCTTAAATCTTGTTGATTAATGTTGACTTACCTGAATTTCACTAGCACAGTATCTTATACAAAGTAGCCATTCAATACTAACTTCTACCCAAAATAGGAAATTCAGAATAGCATACTTACCGTATCCTTTATTGAAGACATCCTTGGCAGCCTTTCCTAGGTCACAGTAAGTCGGTGTGTTACACATATCTTACAAAGAAAAATGGGGACAAAGTAGTAAAAATAACCACTTAGTATTTATTTATCCACCCCTACTTCTTCCACTGTTTTGACCTGTGAAAAGAGGTATACAGTTTTCCTTTGCATCATTAATGACTACGCCCTAATGTGATCAAAGCTAAAGAAAAGCACTCAGCTCCCTAGAAAAGGAGAATTAAAAAGGTTTTCTCATGAGATCCACAAAGGTCATTGTTCTGATTATATTTCAAAGAAAATTCTCATAGGCTGAAAAAGATGCTTTGTTAAACTGGTCTTGTTTTAAAAATACATGTAAATTTTTCCTTAAGAAAATCTTTATAGGGCTGTTATGAAACCAAAGAGCTGTATGAAGCAACAGGTAGATTTAAGAAACTGTTTAGAACAGATACAATGGAAATCCTGGGGGGTTAACATTTTGTTACTCTGAAATTACTCTGGGAGGCTAATTGGGAGAACCACTTGAGCTCAGGAATTCAAGAATTACCATACTAACTGAAATGTATTCTTCTACAAATGTCCTCTCTCCAAACTCTTCTTAAAATAAAGTGCCATAATTTTACCCATTAACCAGAAACAGGATAGAGTCTACCTGCAGGGATCTGCTTACCAAAAGTATGAACTCTGAAGTTAAAGCCTTCAGAGATGCGAGGTGTCTAGACTTTTCATTTTGCCTGCTTAGTGTTTACCCAGTTTTTCTACTGCCAATATGAACCTTGTATCAAGTTCTCAGAAGCTACCAGCCATACCGAACATACTATTCCTTTGCCCTCTTTGTATAACAGGAAATCTTTTCCTGCAGCACATTCTGTTGTGTCTATCTTGGAGACTCAAAACCAAGTCTAACCAATTATGGAAGCACCTACAGCAGTCCCATGATCCTGCCTACAATACCAGAGAAATCCAGAGTACCAGCTAGCCTTTACAACTATGATGCCTGTACTATCTACACATTCAAACTAATTTTTATATTTAGCCCAGCTTCACATAAATATATGATGAACTTCTTAATTTGGAATTCATATAAAATGTGTTCCTGAACCCACAACTATCAAATATATACATGGTGCTATAAAGTTAAGAGGAAAAAGAAGAGTATAAAAGTTACACATTAGGCCCAGCGCAATAGCTCAGGTCTGTAACCTCAGCACTCTGGAAGGCTAATTAGGAGAACCACTTGAGGTCAGGAGTTTGAGTCCAGCCTAAGAACCAGACCGGCTCTACTAAAAATAGAAAAATTAGCTGGGCATTGTGGTGGGTGCTTGTAGTCCCAGCTACTTCAGAGGCTGAGGCAGGAGGATCACTTGAGCCCAGGAGTTTTGAGTTGCTGTGAGCTATGAATACCAGTGTACTCTACCTAGGAGGACAGTGAAACCCTGTCTCAGGGGGAAAAAAAAGTTACACATTAAGAGGAAAGTGCTGTATAAACGTTCTGACTCACACCATAACAAAACTTTGCTCTAAGCAACAGAGTTTCATTGTTCACTTTCAGAGCAATTATTTTACCATTCAATCCCTTGCACGCACATCATCAATTCTAGACTTTTAAAATATCCCTAGTTCTAATCTGATATTATTCTTTATGAATATAACTGATGTTGATATGTTGAAATTTTGCCAGAAGTCTATAATTTGGTAGGTAAGTATAGAAATGTAGGCACTATACAGGCCAACAGAAATGTTAAAGATTTTCAGTTTGGTTTTCAAAGAGAAAAAACACATTTAAGCGTTTAGAAGCATCGTATATACATCTAGGGACTAATTACAATCTATTAGCATTTTGCTTTGCTATTTTTCAAAACTAGTACCAGACACTAACTACGCAAAAGTCGAGTCGCTGGTTTAGTCTACTAACTGATCGCAGTTCTGCCTCGTTCAAGCTTACTTTTTCAGACCCATAACTCTAATGGGAAATGCGCTGCTGGCATGATCAAGCAAAAATTGAGAAGACACAGACTTCGTCTTATTCGGCACACATTTCTATGAGCTCTACGAAATGCACTTGTTGTTCCTATTCACGATGTACCGACGCTGCATTAGACACAGACCAGGGAGAGAAAGGCGTTAACTAGGAAATACTGCTATACACAATTACTAACTTGACAGTTCAGTAAAGAGCCCTTTTTATTTGCTCGTTTCTCCTTTTTAAGTTGCACGTCTAAACATCCTCCCTCTGGCCGTAAGGACTGGAGGATTCGCCTGATGCTTGATCACAATTCCAGAGAGGAAGGTGAGGGCGGGGATGGACCTGGGGTTCGAGGGTCTAACTTCCCTAGAAACCGACCTCTTTTCTAGCCTGACACCGGGAAGGAAAGTCTCGTCCGCACGCCAGGCAGCGGGGAAGGTCGGCTGGGCGCGCCCCCCGCCCCTGCGCCCGGCTCCATCACCCGAGAGGCTGGGGACCAAGGTCCCCGCAGGGGCCGGCGCGCCTCTGCCCTCCGCGCCGCGCCCGGCCCGCGCCCCGTTGGACCGCGCCCTCGCTCCCGAGCCCTCCGTTAGGCCCGCCCCCGTCGGGGCCCTGCTCGGCCGCGGCCCGCCGCCGCCCGGGCCCTTCGCCGGTTGCCGGCCCGCGGCCTCGGCTCCCCTCACCTCCAACCAGAGGGCCTGTCTCGGCTCCGTCAGGGCAACGCTGAAGGTCTTCTCCGAACCAACGCTGTCCGCGCCTGCGCGGCCGCACTCCCCCCAGCGGCGCCTGCGCGCCCTTCTCCCAGCGCCTCGCGTTTGCGCCGTCGAGTCGCGCCGCGGTCGCGCGCCGGGGGTCAGGGCGCGGAGGGGAGCAGCTGGGGGCGCCTCAGCTCCGCTAACTGTCTGGATCCGCGTGCGCGCGTGCGCAGGAGGGGCCGGCGCGCAGGTTGGTGGCGTGACGCGACGGAGGCCGAAGATCTCAGCTTTCCCCGCCCCCCAGGGGCTCGTTCTCGCGAGAATGCTTGAACGTAGCTAGTTACCGTCGCCATGGGCGGGGCCACAGGGCCGGCGCGCAAACCTTAGGGGAGTCTGAGGGGGCGGTGGCAGCGCTTAGCGCACAGCGGCTGACCTGCGCTCTGGGGATGCCTTGCGCTTCTTTATGGGAACTGCCTCTCGGACTGACCCAGGCCCGTAGGTCAGGTCCGGAATGCGAAAATAGAGTCCCCCAGGTAGCTGCAGGTTGTCCTTCAAAGGCAGACAGGAGGTGCAGGAGGCAAAACTTCCCTAGAGGGGAACACTAATTAATTAAACGAGAAGAAATTATAGAAATAGAAAACATCACTTTGGAACCAACATAGTAATAACTGATTCAGGCAAAAATTATCAGTGGACAGTTGAGGGTATTCATAAGGTTTCTGAATGTTGTTGCCAGATTCGTTCTGCTTCCCGCTATAGAGAAACCCAAGGTCCAGAGACAGCAGGTTCACAGCACAGAGAATAAGCCAGACAGGGTTTTAGAAGAGTGAGTTTGGTGGGCAGATCAGACAATCTGGGTCTGCCGATTGGCTTATTTCAGGGTGCAGCCATCAGTCCTTTGGCGTGGGCCACTGTCTGGGGGGTCAGGTACTGAAAGGCAGGCAGGCCCTTCCGTGCAGTGTCCGTCCAAGACCAACTGGGTCAGTTCTGCAGTCCGGGTGGGCCCATCACTGGAATGCAGGACCTGATATCTTTAGAAACTACTCCTACCGGTAGGTTCCAAATAGCGTGTACCCAGTCACTTCAAAAATGTTAATTTCAAGAATAATATGACACTAAAAGCAATGTTCTTGCCTAAATTGGACCCTGGATCAAAACCAATGGGAAATTTGAAAGTAAGTCATATTAGTACAGTAACAAAATTTTTCTAAGGGTAATGTATCTTGGTTATGCAGAAATGGACTTATTTTTGGAGATAGAAGCTTAAGTATTTGAAATCGAAATATGTGTCTGCAACTAACTCTTAAATGGTCCAGAACAAAGAGAGAGAAAAAGCAAATAGGTCAAAATGTGAGCAGTTGAGGAATCTAGGTGGAGGATAATATGTGTGTTCCTTGGACTATTGTTGAAACTTCAATATGTTTTTAATTTTTCAAAATAAAAAGTTAAGAAAAAAAACTACAAAATCTGTGATGCTCAGTGCACAATAACAAGTTGCTGCTTGAATCAATAGGCAAGTGCTGTTATTTGCATGTTGTACATAAGGAATTTCAAGTTAATAAGAAATCAGTAAGATAAATGCTCCCCAAGAGACTCATAATGTAAAACTTGGACAGATATGTGCTGAATGAGGCAACATAGAAATATCATAAGCAAAGCCATAGAAGTAACATGCTATAGGAATTTGCAAGCTATGCAGGTAAAACCCACATTTACTTTTTTCCTTTTTCATTAATGTAATGCTACATGTATAGATATATTCCCACAATATGTCAAAGTAGCCTAAATAAAATGTGCTTTGGAGTCAAAAGAGACTGGGTTTGTGTCTCAGCTCTGCCAACTCTGTAGACTTAGGCAAGCAGTTTATCTCCTCTATGCCTCAGTTTCCACATCTGTTAAAGAACTAAATAATATTGGCCTCAGAGGATTGTGGATATTAAATAATGCATCCATAGTGTTACCAGACAAAGAGGGTCCTGGCTGCCTCCACTGTCAGCCAGATGCAGAGACAGGGATTAGGTCTAAAAAGTGTTATTGTCAGAAGGCCAGCAATCTGGGGAATGCCAAGAGTAACCTCGCCAAGTCTGTTCTGCCCTTTCATTTCCAAAACCACAGTTTCATACATAAAAGTTAAAGATATTAACTCTTACCTTAATAATCAGCATAACCCATGACCTATTAAAATAATAATTAGCACAACTCACGATTTATTACAAAATTTCCAATTGAAGTTAATCTCCTAAATCAATCATCCTAAGCTACTCAAGATGCACATCTTTAGGTTGGAGTTAAATTGACAAAACGTCAAGAATGGAAACTATGGCTCAGTGCCTGTGGCTCAAGTGGCTAAGGCGCCAGCCACATACACCTAAAGTGGTGGGTTTGAATCCAGCCTGGGCCACCAAAACAACAATGACGGCTGCAACCAAAAAATACCCAGGTGTTGTGGCAGGCGCCTGTGGTCCCAGCTACTTGGGAGGCTGAGGCAGGAGACTC